TCCTTTAAGTTGCGTGGAATCTTAAAATATAGCACCAGAATGGGTTGAAAAACAAAGGAGGAAGCATGTGACAAGTTACCACCTGTGGCTTTGAAAAATTGAGGAGTTAGCGGCTACAGTTGTGGGCTTTGATGTGGCCCTAGGAGAACCATTCCTTGCAGTTTTGAGCAGTGTATTTGTAGGTGTTCCCAGTGTGGTCTGCAGTTGCATTAGAGTAAACAAGGTGTTCTATAAATCATAGATTCTTGGGACCGAGCCTTGATCTCCTGGATCAGCATTTTTAAGTGAGAATTGGCTTTGTAAGGAGTGCAGGGCTTGGCACTTTGAGACCTGCTCTGCCATGTTTATGATGCCCTCTCCTTACACTGTCTTCTCACTTTCGCTCTTGCCCACCCTGGCATTCAGATGAGTGTTTTTAGTTGTGCAGTTCAGGTTCTGTGCTGTCTGTGTTCAAGGCCTGAAGTTTGTTTCTTTTAGCACCATAGTCTTCAGAAGTTGCTCTTTTTAGTCACACCTGGGGCGGCCCGTCCTCACCCTTCCGCCCGTCCTCACCCTTCCAGTTCTTTTATTTGCATTCCCTCTAGGCCATTCCTTTTCTGTAGTTTGTTGTCATCAGTGTGTGAAATCTCTGTGGCTTTAGAATTCAAAAACGTTCTTCTCTACTTCACAAAACAGCCAAATCCCCGGCACTTCTGACCCCGGGTCTACGCTTGTTCCCTGGACTCCATTTGAACTCTGTGTCTCTATTTGTGTGACTTTTACAATTAAGAAATGTGTGAGACATCGCCAAACAACATGAAGCTGCTTGTCTGAATATCTGGATGGGGAATATCCCAATTAAACTCAACTATACCGAGGATTCATACTTTGATACTCCTTACATTTGAAGTCATGTGTAGCCAGGCAGAAGTATCACGTTGTGAGATTTCATTGCTTTTTTGGCCAAGAAAAGATTAAAAGGAAGCATTTTGGCTCCTGGGGTGGGTAATGTGACTCTGCTTTAGAACACTGTCCTTTAGAGGGCACAGATGTGTTATGTCCGTGTGACTGGTCACATACATCCATTGGCATCTTAACTGTCTGTGAGATAAATAGCTCTCATTTTTAGAGGTGCATCTACATTACTAAACAACAATGCTTCCGTGAGGCCATGGCAGGGTTGTGCTTTTCAAACCTCTTGAATCACATGCAGCTAAAAGTGGGAACAACATTTCTGTTTCGTAAACACACAGATTGTAGTACAAAAAAAGAAATAGGCGTTATCGAAAAGGGACATGTTTGGCTGAATTTATTATTGCAAAACAACATTGACATTGTTGGAAGAAGTGTTAGTAGTTTAGCTAATAAAATGGATAAACAAATTTAAGTCTTGGAAATTTTAACCACTTCAGAAGGATTAACCACTTCAAATAATTATTTTTAAAATTTAGGAAAAAATCAAGGAATATGTAGACATCAAACAAGAAATCAATTAATTTTAAAGTTTATCTTCAACTATTTAGTTTGGATGCTGTTTAACTGTTTTATTTGGAAAAGATGGATTTAATTGTCCTTCCATGGTGTTGCTTAGGTTTTTCTTGGATGAAAGGGTAAGTTTCAGTAAGTTAAAAAAAAACAATTTTACTGTATTTTGATAAAATAATTTATGTGTTAGCATGTAAAATTTTATACATTCTGTAATATTTAAATCAGATTTCAGATTTATCTTTTTTATTCATAAACCATTCAAAATTCTAGCCTTTTATTTAAATAATATTTTTATTAATTATATGAGAATTTTTATACAATGTGTTTTGATTATCTTCACCTCTCAATTCCTCCTACCTTCTCTCGTCTTACAACCCTACCTACCAACTTAAAGTTCTTCTTCCTTGTTTTTTTCCCACTGTGTGTTATCCTAATGCTCTTGGGATTGGGATTTGCCCTACCAGGGATCACATCATTAAAGAAAGCATCTCCTTTCAGCAGCTATCAAATGACACTAGCTCCTCAGCTAGTTGTGTAATTTCATGCTGCCCTCTGCACCTCCATTCTGGTATTTTGTCTGGCTGTGGCTCGAGCAGGTCTATAAACTTTGTCACAATCACTGAGAGTTCATATGTACAGTTGCCCTGTTGTGTCTGGGCAAATACCACACACTGGAAGTTTTGCGCAACTTCTGACTGTTGGCTCCTAATCAGTCTTTTCTTCCTTCCTTCCTAACGATCTGTGCGCATCGTGGGGATGAGCACCCTGCAGTCTCTAAATGTTGAACAGCTGTCATCCACTGTGAGAGGAAGTTTTCTCTGACGAAGGAGGCTGAGAAATTCAATGATCTATAAGTCTATACGAACTATAGGATCTATGCAATAACTTACAGTAATAACTCAGTTGGGTCATTAAAAATTTTTAATAAAGTTTACAATTATTATCTTGATGTAAAGATAAATACAAATAAGTAATTTTAAATAGTAAAAGGAAAACATAACAAATTATGATTTTTTTCAACTCATCACACATTCAAGTTGAATATATATTTCATGTATTATGTGTTAATATTCATGGATTTAATGTATTCGGTCTTAATTGCTTATTTTCTTATTCTTTGTAACACTGACAATAAATTCTAATGAGAATACATCAGCTAGCTTCATGACTGTTTCTCCTTTTTTCCCTAGGGATGGTTTCTTCATTTTTAATAGTAAACCTGTCAGCTTTGCTCATCTCTTTTGTATTTGGAGAAGCAGAAATAAGATTTGCCGGACAAACAGAATTTTTCGTTAATGAAACAACTACCACAGTTATTCGTCTTGTCATTGAGAAGACAGGAGAGCCAGCAAACGTTACTGCCATTGTGTCTGTAAGAAATGACTACAGTTTTGTTTTTAATGAAATGCATATGACACTTTTTAGTCTCAACAGAAACACTTTTTAACTGTTTGAGTTTCTGAGCCTGAGTTTCATTATGTTGTATCTAAGTCTATTTATCAGTACAAAGAATGCTTGAGTGTGGCCAGGTGTATTTTAAAGACAAAGTCTAGCTATCTTAAATTATTTATAAGATTATTTTAAAACAAGATCACAGGATCTTTCTTTACACATTTATTGTAAGGTGACTTAGACAAAAACATAGGGCAATATTTAAAAGATATAAATGACAGGAAAAAACCCTAAGTTCAGTTAGAGAATCATTGTTGGAGAAAAGAATATTAACTTCACTAAAAATTAAGTAAAGTATATAAATTCTTGACTATATAAAAAGTTTAAAATTAGGGTGGAATGTTTAGTGTTACATGTTTGTGTATAGTTTTACACAACAGAAAGCCATGTCATATGCCCAATAAAGATATTGCTGTATTAGCAGCCCGATGTACTTAAAAGTTAAAAATAATGTGTTTGTTGCATGTTTGCCCTTGCACACACATGGACATATGTGCGTACACACACACTCATGTGTGTGCAGGCCAGGTCAGTGTCAAGGGTCTTCCTCTGTATCACTGTCCACCTTATGTTAAAGGAGGGGGTCTCTTACTGACCCTGTCACTCACTCACTGGCAAGAGTGGCTGGCTGCTAATCACCAAGGATCTTGGGTATCCACTCCTCCCACAGCATTAGTTAGAAGTTTACAGATGTGTAGACTTCCACCTCTGGCCTTTTACCTTGATACTGAACTAAAATCGACTTCTAAAAGGAACCCAGTGTTAAAGTTTTGTACATTTTAGTGTGTGCACAATTTGACATATTTATATACAACTTTGACTTTGTTTCTAGCTCTCATGTACATTGTATTTGACAGTCTTTTGACACAACTTACCCCATCTTCTCAGGTTGCTGTATTTTGTTGTTCTTGTTAGATCACATTATTCTAAACATTTTTTTCCATTGTTTTTCATTGACATTGCTTCTGGGTTTTGCTGTCTATAGTGAATGTCATTCTGAAGAACTGATTATATACATGGCTACCTGTATTTTGGGTTAATTTTCACAGAGTAGATTAGTGTATTTTTATGTATGCCTGTTTAGTGGCTCTTGATAATACTTTCTGAGCAATTGCCGCTTTCCATAACAAGTTATAACTACAGTTTCCAACATCCCTGCCAACATTTTCTAACTTAGTTTTATTTTTCAACTATTTAAAACTTAAAAAAAAATTAGAAGTAGACAATCACTAAACTTTTGCAAAATAAGTTCTTATTTTTATTTTGCTAAAATTTTTCCTTAGGTGGTTAAATTAATTTTGAGCTCTGGTGAGAGAAACGTCATTTGAAGTCTTCCTTTATAATCCTGCAGTTACCACTCTGCTGCAGTTCTTCCTAGCAAGGTTGAATCCACAGATTAAGATCCCAGGAAAGCTTATAATGATCAATACTGTGGGATGCTAAAAATTGGGTCTCTCATTTTAGTTGCTGTGGATAACCTAAGTACAATTTTAGGTTGAAAGCGTAAATATAGAATTTTTTCAGCCCCCTGGGAAAACCTTAGCATGTACCAGCAGCTTCTCCTCTATGCTTCACATGAATTCCAGCTGTAATCTGTCCTCCTAGGCTGTAGTCTGTGCCGAATCAAGTAAGGGACAGAGGAAAAGGTAACATTAATTTTTCTATGAAATTATTAGTTTTTTGTGTGCAATTAACTTTGATTCATCATATTAAGAAATATTTCATATGTAACGACTTATATCTGTGATTTTCTCATTAAAAATATTACACTTATTTGTTTCTGTGTGTCTGTGGACACAAAGGTAGAGATGTGAGGACAAGTGGCTCCTTCTACCGTGTGCGTCTGGATTGGACCTCAGGTCATCCAGCTTGGCTGCAAGTACATGAGCCATCTTGCTGGTTATGTGATATTTCTTCTGAAAATGAGTCTCAACAGCTGCTAAACATTTGTTTTTTAATGTTGTGTTGTAGATGAGAGTGCCTCTTGATCTAGGCCCGTTCTCTTGAATGTTCTAATGAGTATCAGTTTTCCTTATTCTGCCTTTCGTTAAGTGAGGATGTTTCTGTTTCGCCCGTGGCAGCTGAATGGAGAAGACACAGGCGACTTTTTTGATACATATGCGGCAGCATTCATTCCTGCTGGAGGAATGAACAGGACTGTGTACATAGCAGTATGTGATGATGATCTTCCAGAACCTGATGAAACGTTCACCTTTCATTTGACATTACAGGTAAGGTATGCACCCCCCTTTGAACTTACACAACATCTTTGAACACTTGAAAATCTATTTAATGCACCTTCATAAAGAAATGAGAGAGATCCCATACTAGAAATTTAGCAGCATGCCTGAAAGCTCTGGAACAGAAAGAAGCAAACATACATAAGAGGAGTAGACAGCAGGAAATAATCAAACTCAGGGCTGAAATCAACAAATTGGAAATAAAGAAAACAATACAAAGAATCAATGAAACCAAAGGCTGTTTTTTATTTTTTGTTTTTGTTTTGTTTTTGAGAAAATCAACAAGATAGAGAAACCCTTGGCCAAACTAGCTAAAAGGCAGAGTGAGAATATGCAAATTAACAAAACTAGAAATGAAAATAAGTACATAACAACAGTGAGGAAATCCAAAAAAAACACTAGGTCTTACATCAGAAACCTGTATTCTACAAAACTGGAAAATCTAAAGGATTTTCTTGATAGATTTCACCTACCAAAGCTAAGTCAAGAGCTTTAAACAGTCCATTAACCCCTAAGGAAATAGAAGCAGTCATCAAAAGTCTCCCAACTAAAGAAAACCCAGGTCCAGATGGTTTTAGTGCAGAATTCTACCAGACATTCAAAGAAGAGCTAATACCAATACTCGTCAAACTATTCCACAAAATAGAAACTGAGGGAACATTGACAAACTCTTTCTATGAAGCCACAGTCATTTTGATGCCTAAACTGCACAAAGACCCAACAAAGAAAGAGAATTTTAAACCAATTTCACTCATGAACATTCATGCAAAAATACTTAATAAAATACTCACAAACTGAATCTAAGAACACATCAAATATATCATCCACCATGATCAAGTTGGCTTTATCCCAGGGATGCAGATATGGTTCAACATTCAAAAATCCATCAATGTAATCCACCATATAAACAAACTAAAAAAAAAAAAAAATCACATGATCATCTTATTAGATGCAGAAAAAGCCTTTGACAGAATCCAATACCCCTTCATGATGAAAGTCTTGGAGAGATCAGGGAAACAAGGCTCATACCTAAACATAATAAAAACTATATACAGCAAACAGATAGCCAACATCAAATTAAATGGAGAGAAACTCAAACCAATTCCACTAAAATCAGGGACAAGACAAGGCTGCCCACTCTCTCCATACTTCTTCAATATAGTACTTGAAGTTCTAGCTAGAGCAATAAGACAACTAAAGGAGATCAAAGGGATACAAATTAGGAAGGAAGAGGTCAAAGTGTCACTATTTGCAAATGATATGATAGTGTATGTAAGCAACCCCAGAAATTTCACCGAGAACTCTTACAGCTGATAAACAGCTTTATCAAAGTTGCTGGATACAAGATTAATTAAAAAAACAAAACAAAACAGTAATCCTCCTGTACACAAATGACCAAACGGCTGAGAAAGAAATTAGAGAAACTACACCCTTCACAATAGCCACAAATAATATGATGTATCTTGGTGTAACTCTAACCAAGCAAGAGAAAGACTTGTATGACAAGAACTTCAAGTCTCTGAAGAAAGAAATTGAAGAAGCTATCAGAAGATGGAAAGATGCCCCAGATTGTGGATTGATAGGATTTACATAATAAAAATGGCCATCTAACCAAAGGCAATCCACAGATTCAATGCAATCCCCATCAAAATACCAACACAGTACTTTCCAGGCCTTCAAAGAACAATTCTAAACTTCATATGGAGAAACAAACAAAAAAAAATGCAGACTAGATAAAACAATCCTATACAATAAAAGAACTTCTGGAGGTATCTCCATCCCCGACTTCAAGCTATACTACAGAGCCATAGTAATAAAAACTGTATGGTACTGACATAGAAATAGACTGGTTGATCAATCAAATCAAATCAAAGATCCAGAAATGAACTCCCAAACCCATGGTCACTTGATTTTTGACAAAGGAGCCAAAACCATACAATGGAAAAAGACAGCATCTTCAACAAATGCTGTTGGTCTAATTGGATGTTTACGTGTAGAAAACTGCAATACATATTTATCTCCCTGCACAAAACTCAAATCTGAGTGGATCAAAGATCTCAAAATAACACCAAATACACTAAATCTTTTAGAATAGAAAGTGGGAAGAGCCTCAAATTCATTGGCAGAAGAGACAACTTCCTGAACAGAACACCAATAGCTCAGGCTCCAGGATCAACAATTAATAAATTGGACCCCTAGAAACTGAAACGCTTCTGTAAAGGAAAGGCCACTTTCCATAGAACAAAACTATAGATTGGGAAAAGATCTTCACCAATCCTACCTCTGACAAAGAGCTAATATCCGAAATATATAATGAACTCAAGAAATCAAACACCAATAAATAAAATAGCCCAATTGAAAAATGGGGCACAGAACTAAATAGAGAATTCTCAATAGAGGAATCTTGAATAGCTGAGAAGCACTTAAGAAATGCTCAACTTCCTTAGTCATCGTGGAAATGTAAATCAAAATTACTTTGAGATTCTCATCTGACACCCATCAGAGTGGCTAAGATCAAAAACAACAAGTGACAACACATGCTGGAAAGGTTGTGGAGAAAGGGGAGCCCTCCTCCAGTGCTGGTGGGACTGCAAACTTGTACAACCACTCTGGAAATCAATCTGGTGTTTTTTCAGAAAATTGGAAATAGCTTTACCTCAAGATCCAGGTGTAACTCTCCTGAGGCATATACCAAAAAGGTGCTCCACCATATGACAATGACGCTTGTTCAGCTCTGTACATAGCAGCTTTATTTGTGATAGCCAGAAACTGGAAACAACCCAGATGTCCCTCAACCAAAGAATTATTAACTGTGGCACATTTACACAATGGAATACTACTCAGCTATTAAAAACAAATAATGAACTTTTCAGGCAAATGGATGGAACTAGAAAAGATCATCCTGAGTGAGGTAATCCAGACCCAGCAAGACAAACATGGTATGTACTCACTTTTAAGTGGATTATGCCATGTCATACAGGATAAGTATACTATTAGACACAGACCCAAAGAAGATAAATAGCACAGAGGATCCAAGGGAGGATGCATACATTCCTCTCAGAAGGGGAGACAGAATAGACAGACATAGTGGCTGAAGACAGGGAACAAGGTAGGAGATGGGGAGCAAAGAGATAAGAGGGTAGAGGTCAGACCTGGGGAGAGCGAGGGCAAGAGAACAGAAGGCCTGTAGAAAAAAAGAGAAACTGAGGGTGGGGTTAACTCTGTGACAGGCCAGAAACCTAAGTCAGGGTAGTCTCCTGGGAGTATTTGAGGGGGACCTCAGGCATAGGGTCCTAGTAGTAGAGGCTATAGAGACTGAAGAATATGCCCACTAAGTAAACAAGTCTCCAAGCAGTAGGAGGGGAACACCAACTCACTCACAAAAACTTCCATCCCAAATTTACCCTGTCTACAAGATGTGCAGGGATAAAGATAGAGCAGATAGAGTAGAGATACCATTGCCTGGCCCAACCAAAGACCCCACCCTATTGGAGAGTGCTAACCCCTGACACTATGAACAATCCTCTGCTAAGCTTGCAGACAGGAGCTCTTCAGAGTTGTCCTCCGGGAGGCCCTATCCAGCAGGGCCTCAAAACAGAAGCGGAAGTTGCGATGTGGATGCACACACTGGGACACGGCTCCCTTCTGTGCCTTGGGCTCTGCCCTGGGTCCATTCGTAGTTTTCTGTATAATAGTAGTTCTCAACCTTCCTCATGTTGTGGAGATCCCCAACCATAAAACTGTTTTTTGTTGCTACTTCATAACTGTATTTTGCTACTGTCCTGAATTGTAATGTAAACATTTGGGGGGAAAGAGGCTTTTCAAAGTGGGTGGTGGCCCACAATTTGAGAGACGCTGCTGTATATGTTTCCATTTGCCATAAGGGAAGCTTCTTTGATGAGAGGTGAAAGCTACATTTGTCTCTGAGTATAAATAAAATTTAGACTGTAGTAAGGGAGAATGCTTGTTTGGCAAAGTGGCAGTAGTAGATTCTCTTCTAAGTTCTGTAAATTCACTAACCCCAGATAGTTTGCTAGGTGCCAAGAATGGTAGTAGGCAATAATTTTAAAAGAGCATTAATAAATTAGTTTAAATGGTAAAATAACAAGATGAAATAAATGAACAGACAAGAAATCTTTACATACCAGGTAGACTGATTGTGAAAAATAAAACAAAAATGTCCAGAACTTGGTTGATTCATCACAAGGACCATGCATGAAGAGGACCTAGAGCCCCCTGCTCAGATTTAGCCCATGGCAGCTCAGTATCCAAGTGGGTTCCCTAGTGAGGGGAACAGGGACTGTCTCTGACATGAACTCAGTGGCTAGCTCTTTGATCACCTCCCCCCCTGGCAAGGTGGCCTAACTAGGCTACAGAGAAAGAGGATCCATACAGTCTTGATGAGACCTGATGAGCTAGGATCAGAAAGTAGGGGAGGAGGACCTCTGATATCGGTGGTCTAGGGAAGGGACATAGAGGGTGAAGAGGGAGGGAGGGTAAAGAAAGAGAGAAGGTGGGACTGGGAGGAAATGAGGGAGGGGGCTACAGTAGGGATACAAAGATAATAAATTGTAATAAATATTAATAAAGAAAAAATTTAAAAATTAAACAAACAAAAAAAAAACAGAAGCTGAGACTCACAGACAAACACTGGGTGATGCATAGTGAGTCTTGTGGAAAAGTGGGAGGGAAGAGAAAAGGACCTTGAGGTAACAGGAGCTCCAGAAGACGACCTAAAGAGCCTGCTAACCAGGGCCCAGAGGAGCTTGCTGAGACTGAAGCATCAACCAAGAACTGTACCTAGGACCCTTACAAAGATGTAGCAGATCTTAGATGGGCAGGTTAGGCCTCACGTAGGTCCTCTAGTAAGGGAAGTGGGGATCACTTTTCCCTGGAAGGACTGCTTTGCTATATCACAGGGGAAGAGGACAGGCTCAGTGCTGATGTAACATGATGAACTGCTCTGGATGGGAAATGAGGAAGAAGAAGGAGAAGGGAGGGAGGGTGTGACTGGGAGGAGAGGAGGGGTAGGGCTACAACAAGGATGTAAAGTGAATAAAAACAATCAAAAGTAAAATAAAAAATGGAAAAAAGGAAATCTATTTAACTAGTGATAAGCCGAGGGGTATGTGTAGCAGTGTGGCTTTCACAGATCTCGCTGATAGAAGCACAGCAGCATAGTGAGGGTTTGTTTATAGGAGCTTCTTGCCAATGGATACAACACTGAAGAAAATCTCTACCTCCCCAGGAGACTTTTAACCACCAATAGATTCTTAGCGAGTGATTTATTTATACTCTTAATTGAAGGCAGAAACTGTGTTGGAAGAATATTTTTCTTCTAATATTTAATGCATTAATTTGTTTGTTTTCACTTTAGAAACCCTCAGCAAATGTGAAACTTGGATGGCCGAGAACTGCTACTGTGACAATATTATCAAACGACAATGCATTTGGAATTATTTCATTTAGTTCGGTATGGTTACAGTGTGAAGATTGTGATGGTTGCAAGATACAACTGCATTCAATTTTGTTTGTTTGTTTTAACATAGTTTTTCTAATGTTGGCTGTGATTTTTTAAGTGAGCCTGAAGCTGACTCTGTAGCAACTCTGCATTCTGTGTATTTACACTGTTGCACACTGAGACCTTTTTTGCTCAATGTCCACACCTGCTGACACTTTCTAACCATTGACTCATTTGTCACCTGTTGCCTGGCCTCTCACTGGAATGCGCTCTTGCTCCCTTCCCCCATTTAAAAAATTTTAAATGCCACTTAAAGAAGTCTTATCTATTTTCCAGACTCTTCTGAATGACTGTGAGGTGGGAAAACACATTGAAAGAAAACCTACAGTAAACTTCAGTTTAATCTGCAGATGTGATAGCACGTCCCACGCAGCTCTCAGACATTCTTATTAATTCATATTTCATGAAAGTAAAACTCAGTTTCATCTCCTGAAATTCTGTTCACTTTCTTTCCTTAAGTTTTTGTTCTTCTAGCCTATCCAATTTTCAGAGAGCTTCATTTGTAAAAACAAACACACAAGACAAGTCTTTCCTGGAGAGAAAATATTTTCAGCTCCTAAGCTAAATTAAAGGTTGTCTTCAACACAGCTGGCTTTCGATACCAAGTAGGAGGCTAAAATAATCCTCCTGATAGTCTTTTTGAATTCTGTTGCTAAGCAACATTTAAAAATCCGATACCATCAGTCTTCAGCTTTTTATTCATTTTCTGTATTTGAACACTTCTGCACTTGTGTGTGTTATATGTCACCACTCTGTGAAGTTGTCTTTGAAACAAGGCAAGCTGTAGATCAATGTACTCTTTATGCTTGAGTTACTTTTATTAAAAACCATGTTTTCCTAACCTAAATTTAGTAGATATTTGGTAATCTGACATTATTGTCACCTTAAACACTACCTACATTAATTAGGAATTCTCAAGGGAAGAGACTATTACGCCACAAGTTCTGACTTTCTTCCCACCTTCATACCTACTTCTGGTTTACCGCTGAACCTCACAATGATTTGTTTAAAAGTTAGCTCTCTTTTTTTTTTTCCTCCTTTCTTCTTTCTTTCTTCTCTCTTTCCTCTGACAATATGCGTCCTATGTTGTGGGGACGGGGTTGGTTGAAGTGCCACTAGGCCCTTCCTGGCACACTGCATGTGAGCTCCATGTCAGAAGAGGTACTCAATACCTTGCCTCCATCTTTAGCGTGTTAAAAATTATATTGAGGACGAACATGACGTTGGAACAGGTGTAACAGCCGACAGTTACTCAGCATGTGTCGGGAAGTAGTGAAAACTGGAAGGAACTGATCTCAGGGAATCTAATGGCAGACCTTTGCCGTAGGTATCTTAGTCCCACAAATGGATCGCTGTGACCCGCTACCCTCAGAGATGCCCACTGCTGCAGCAGTACATGTGTGCACTCATTGCTTCCTTTTTCCTCCTCATCTACCCATGTTTCAGACAACACGGTAGCATGTTTCAGCATTTGAAGTTCTCCCTGTTTTGCCTCTGATAGTGACTTTCTCTGCAAGTCACTAATTAACTGTCTCTCAGCGACATTCTGACTGATGACGAGGCAGGAAGGCAGGAGAACAAGTGGTCTTAGTGAGGTGCCATCTTGGTGTGGGGCTTATTTTTGTGACCTCCTGAGCTCTGGGAGCATCATAACTTATTGTCTCTTAGCCTTCAGGATTCCTCAGAACAGTTGCTAAAAGGACCAGGACAACCTGCTTTGTTTTTGCTTTACAGAGCTATTCTAAATTGATCATTTTTTTATCGCCTACAGTTTGTTGATGCTATAAATACACACTGCGTGAGTACAATAGGAATTGATGTGCTATGGAATTTAGCATTCCTAGGGCAGTCGTTTTACCACCTCCTATCTCTCTCTGATTGATCAGTGCCTGATTGCCTTTTCTCTTCCCAATAGACTTCATCAATCTCAGTGACTGAGCCAAGGAGCAGAAATGAATCCATACCTCTTACTCTAATCAGGGAGAAAGGCACCTACGGAATGGTCACCGTGACTTTTGTTGTAAGTTTACTTTGAAATAATTGTAGATACTAACATGTTACAAAGTGGATATTAGACATATAATATAGAGTAAACTTATTAAAATTAATAGTTCTAAAGAAGCTAAAAAACAAAGAGGACCCTAGGGAAGATGCTCAATCCTCATTCAGAAGGGCAAACGGAATAGACATCAGATATGGGAGAAGGTAGGGAACAGGACAGGAGTCTTCCACAGGGAGCCTCTGAAAGACTCTACCCAGAAGGGTATCAAAGCAGATGCTGAGACTCATAACTTTGGGCAGAGTGCAGGGAATCTTATGGAATAACGGGGAGATAGAAAGACCTGGAGGAGACAGGAGTGCCACAAGGAGACCAGCAGAGCCAAAAAACCTGGGCCTGGGGTGGGGAGGAGGTCTCCAGAGACCAATACTCCAACCAAGGACCATGCATGGAGAGGACCTAGACCCCATGCTCAGATGTAACCCATAAGCGGCCCAGTTTCCAAATAGGGTCCCTAGTAAGGGGAACAGGGGCTGTCTCTTACATGAACTCAGTGGCTGGCTCTTTGATCACCAATCCCTGTGGGGGGAGGGGTGCAGCCTTGCCAGGTCACAGAGGAAGATGATACAGCCAGTTCTGATGAGACCTGATAGGCTAGGGTGAGATAGAAGGGGAGGAGATCCTCCTTTATCAGTGGACTAGGGGAGGGGCATGGGGGAGAAGTGGGAGGAGGGTGGGACTTGGAGGAGACTAGGAAGTCTTCTCACTTTGGGATACAAAGTGAATAAATTGTAATAATAAATAAATAAAAATAAATAAAGAGTCTATATAGAAGTCTTCAATTTAAAAAATAAAAATCTTCTGTGCGATATATATTGCAGTTACTTAAAATTAATTACAGGCAAGTTGTTTTGATTTTTATAAACTTCATGGTTAATAGAAGTTTATAAAATACATGTAGTTTCCATGTATTAGGTTTACATGAAACCTAATGAATCATTGTAGATAAGGGATAATAATAAACAGCAAATTAGATTAGTAGCGCTAAGGCTATAAAATTCATGAGATCTTCACGGAGCCATTTTCAAGCACATACATTTAGATCACTCTACCGTTTACTTAGCACGCATCGTCACCCACTTTCTCGAGACATTTGATAGGTGGTATAAGCAGCAGTTACGTCTGTCGTGGAGGCACGGATAGTGGACGTGCAGTGTGAGTGGCACACTCGGTAGGGAGACATATTTTATTGCTTCCCACAGTGACATTTTGTGAGGTTCACACTGAAATTTTCAACTTACTTGTATGTCCTGTAAGGTTTTAAAGATGACCAAATATGCTATTTTCAAGTTCTAGAGTATTCGAAAGTTTTGATACATTCCTATTTTAATTATTAATTCTAACATAGGTAGATTAGATACTTGAATTAATACAACACATTTTACCACGGCATAGAGGATATTTATTCATACTTGGGGTGTCTATATCAGACAGTGTCTCTTTGTATGAGAGCATAAGACAGGGAGCTGGGAGCTGGCTCTGTGTGCGAGGCACTTGCCATGCAAGCTGGTGGGTCTGCACTTGCGTTTAACCCATGAAAGGCCACGTGTGCAATCCCAGCTCCTACAGCAAGATGGGAAGTGTGGACCGGAGCAGCTCTGGAAGCAAACAGACAGACTGTGTCTGAAACAAGGTGGAGGGTGAGGACTGGCATCAGGCACGCATATATATGTGCTCACATGCCGGTCACAAACACAAAGATTAAAAAAAAAAAAAAAACATAAGATAATAGATGCAAAAAATTCTTGGTAATCAACTAAATATGCAGGACTTCCGTAACTTCTACACAGGAAACCTTCAGGTGCTCTTCCTACACTTATCAGTATGTGTTTAGATGTCAACTTTTGAAAATACTTCTAATAATAGATGTGGAAGAAATGAGAAAATAATGAACTACAGAAAGGGGAAGCTAGCCAAATTACAGTATTCTCAACTGATCTGTGAATGCCTAATATCATTTTTACTGGAAATGTGTTGTTTATTTTTGTGAATATATTTTATTTTACAGTTTCCAACTTTCAATTTTTTGACCTCGAGATACAATGACACCATTTTCCCCCTTCCTAGCCATCCCTCCAACCTTTCCTATATACCCCCTTGCTCTCTTTAAAATTCGGGGCCTCTATTTCTTTAATTGCTGCAACAGATACATGTCTTTTTGTTTAACCAAAACATTTTGAATTGCAATATACTCTGTGGAACATTTTGAATTGTAATGTACTCTGCCTTACACTGATAACTGCTGCATTCAAAGAACCATCTGCCCTTCCTTGAACCAAGCTTCTGTTATGATCGCCTTCATTTTCCTCTGTAAGATCCATTCCCACACTTCACAAGCACATTTATTTACTTATCATTTGTGGTTGTCTTACCAGCTGAAAGTCCCAATGGGAGGAGTTTGTTTTACAGCATGTATGTTTAGGACCTAGAGATAAGGCATGCTCTGCTCGCTGAACACTTTAGTGAATGAGGTCAGGCATGCTCACCTCCCGCCTGCAAAGTAGAAGCTCTCTCGCTCATTTTAAAGATAAGGAAGATGCTAGACAGAGTTGTGAAACAGCTCGCCCAAGGTCACACAGCCAGTGATGGAGTTGGAACTAGATTCCATTTCTTCAGGGGATTTCTTTGTCTTCGATAATCTCAAAAAAAAAAAAAAAAAAAGTGTTCCTATAGTTTTTATCTTTCTCAAGAACATGTGTTTCTACAGCTTTCCTCTCAGCTTTAATAACAGTTAAAACCTCCAAATCTTCAAAAACACAATATAATTATAGTCACGGTGTTAATGGTGTTGTAGACTTTGGCTTAATTAGAAGGGGGTGGCTCGTCTATGCTCATTTGTACTATGTAAAGTATCTTTAAACTTTAGAATTTTGCCAGCTGACATGACAGTAACATTTTCTTTGATTTTAGACATGTCGTTAACTGGTGGCACCATTTATTGCTTTGCAGGTATCAGGTGGCCCAAATCCCCCAGAAGAAGATTTGAGTCCGGTTAGAGGAAATATCACCTTTCCACCTGGCAGAGCAACCATAATTCAAAACTTGACAGTACTCGATGATGAGGTCGGGCAGTGTTATGCACATAGATGAGACGATATCTGTAGAGAACCCTTATTTAAATATTAAATTATGTTAATTGTTTGAAATTATTCAAGAGTGCAGAATTAATGTGTTGTGCCCGTCCCTACTTTAGCCATGAGTAGCAAGTTGTTATTTAAGGATGCAGCTTGCAAATATTTATCTAAATTATTTCATATTAAATTTTGCTTTCAAGCCCTGGAGGTGTGGGGAGTCAGTTTCATAACGTGCAAATCCCTGACTTCCATCTCCATTGTCTTCAACTAAATATAATGTAAAAATTGAAGACTTTTTAACATCTGCTTATTATTTTTGTATTAGTCATTTAACATTTGAACAGGGACATGGGTGCTTATCTCACAACTGTGTATTAGTATACGTTCAGAAAAATCCTACTGCAATTGATACTTTTGTTTAGATTAAAATATTTATTAGTATATGTATGTGCATGAACACATGAATCCAAGAACATAGGTTCTTGGACTCAATCCCACATTACCAGCGTATGTGGCGTCTTTAACTGATGGGCTATCTGGCTGGCTTCCTTGTTTAGATATTTTTAGTTTTATAGTCATAGAGAAAATTTTGTAGTTACATAAAATGTAACTATACAGGTTCATATGTATGGCATAGATGAATTGCAGATCCAAATCTGAACAGTAATGTACAAAAGTGTCCCTCATAAGCCAGTAAGAAAACACTTGCAAAGAAATCCAGGCATTGCTAAAGAAGTGAAACCTCAAAAATAGAACAAAATGTGTACCTTCCCACACAAATCCTGTCACCAAAGTACAAACAACACTCAAAGAAGAGCGTTCATTAAAAATTCTAGGGAAAAAAAAAAGCCTAAAACATTTGGTAGCATTGATGACCTTGTTTTTCTAGATAGGAAATCAACAAAACCTTTATCCTCTGAGGTCCCAGGACCTCAGTTATGATCTGTGTAAGATAAATTAATTACTGATCTTGTAAACTGAAAAGTTTAATAGTGTCTTTTGGGATAAGTGTCTTTATTTTGTTATTTGCTAAGGTGTGGGGAAATGATGTGGGTTTTCACTTTTATTAATAAGGTAGAATTTACAGTGAATGCAAAGCTTGAGCAGCACAGCACAGTGAAGATTAATCCCTGGATTTTTGTAAGCTATAAAAAAACTATCCTTTTGAGCAATGTTAGTATTCTGTGGAAAAGTTACTCTCCTGGGCCATTCTCCAGAGACGTGTAATGTTCTCTCAATATCATAGAATTGACGCAAGAATTAGAAGTAACATAGAAAGTTGCCAGAACCATTCACATGCTAAAAGTTAACAACTATTTTTTATTTAGTGTACTCTCCAGATTCTAGGATAATTTCTAGACTTTGAGTGATCTTTATGACCCTACCAATGATCTCACATTTGCTCTATGCGTTCTTTATAGTTTTTTCAACCCTGATTCAAAGAAACAAATATACATCAAAAATTTTTCACAAATTACTTCATCAAGTTATTTTTTATTTTCTATCCTCACTGAAAATAAATTAACATTTGGAAGATATTTTAGTATGTGTACTCTAAATTACTTCTTATCATTTTTTTCTTGTGTTAAGCTTTTCTATTTCTATGAAACATAGTCATTTTTTTAATACTTGGGCTTGGTTGCAGATACTTTGGCTAATGATGTTTTGTTTATATGCTGTAATAGGTACCAGAAAATGATGAAATATTTTTGATTCACCTGAAAAGTGTAGAAGGAGGAGCCGAGATTAATGCCTCTAGGAGCTCGGTTGAAATCATTGTGAAGAAAAACGATAGTCCTGTGAAATTCACCCAGAGTGTTTACTTGCTTCCTGAAGATGAGCACGTCCTTGCTATCCCAGTGGTTCGTGGGAAGGATGATGGTGGCAGTCTGATCGGGTCTGACGTGTCCGAGGTTTCAGTCAGCTATGAAGTGCTGACTGAGGACTCCACAGCCCATGCTCAGCGAAACGTCGATTTCATCGACCTTCAGTCAAACACTACTCTTGTCTTTCCCCCTTTCGTCCATGAATCACACCTGAAATTTCAGATAATCGATGACACCATACCAGAGATAGCTGAATCGTTTCACATTATGTTACTAAAGAACACCCTGCAGGGAGATGCTGTGCTAACCAGCCCTTCTACTGTACGGGTCACCATCAAGCCAAATGACAAACCTTATGGAGTTCTTTCATTCAACAGTGTTTTGTTTGAAAGGCCAGTTATAATTGATGAAGACGCAGCATCCAGGTATAGTTTACTATAAACTTACAACCATAATTATTTTACTGCACCGTTACATGGCTTCATGTTTATGGTGTTGACACAGTGCTGAGCTGTTAGGATCTGTGCTGTTTCAGCTCTGACTGGCTTACTGATTTCTTTTTGAATGTGATTTAATTATTAAAATGAACTCATATGATAATAGATTCTTAGGCTCTTTCCATGTATGTATTTTTCATATTAAAAATAAGAGTTTTTGTGTTGGCCTCTGCTAATTTTAGAGTGCAGGATATGACCTTATATGTTCTAAACAACTCTAGATATGAAGAAATCACAGTGGTTAGAAACGGTGGCACTCATGGAGATGTTTCTGTGAATTGGGTGTTGATGCGGAACAGCAGTGACCCCTCCCCAGTGACTGAGGATATCAGCCCTAGTTCTGGGACTCTGCAGTTTGCACAAGGGCAGATGTTGACCTCAATTCCTCTTACCGTCATTGCTGATGACCTTCCAGAGGAGGCTGAAGAGTACCTACTTAAAATCCTGCCTCACACCATACAAGGAGGAGCTGAAGTGAGCGAGCCAGCACAGGTAGAGCTTTGTTGTGCTTTGCCCCTGCCAAAACTTCTGTCATAAAAAAGAGCCGAGGAATTTAAGTGTCCAGATGCACTTTACAGATGCTTAGTTCCATGTGGCCGGAAGAATGCTGGTTTTGGGAAAGTGGTGGTTACTTCTAACTACAGAACTTCTGAAAAACATAGCCAAACTTGGGGCAGAGTGCCAGAATCCTTATGGAAGAAGAGGGAGATAGAAAGACCTGGAGGGGACAGGAGCTCCACAAGGAGATCAACAGAGACAAAATATCTGGGCCCAAGAGGCCCTGCAGAGACTGATACTCCAACCAAGGACCATGCATGGAGAGGACCTAGACCCCCTGCTCAGAGGAAGCCCATAGACTAGTATGCTTCCAAGTGTGTTCCCTAGTAAGGCGTACAGGGACTGTCTCTGACATGAACTCAGCGGCCAGCTCTTTGATCATCTTCCCCTGGGGGGTGCAGCCTTGCCAGGCCACAGAGGAAGATGATGCAGCCAGCCTTGATGAGACCTGATAAGCTAGGGTCAGAGAGAAGGGGAGGAGGACCTCTCCTATCAGGGGACTAGGGAAAGGTCATAGGGGGAGAAGGGAAGGGTGGGTGAGACTGGGAGGAGATGAGGGAGGGGGCTGCAGCAGGGGTTTGTATCCCTTTGAAGTGAATACATTGTAGTAAATAAATAAATTAAAAAAACAATAACAAAACAACAAAACCCCAAACAAAGAAACAAACAAACAACAAAACCCCCCAAAACCTTGTGTGTGTGTTTTGGGTGTAGAACCTGAGTACTTGTCCACTTCCCCATGCTAAGCGAAACTTCTGCCACCACCTTCAAGCCCAGACAAACATTTTACCATTTAAAAAATGTCAAAACTTATATTTTCTCGATATGTTCAAAATGGATATTGAATTTTACCCCTTTTCATACACAAACTGATCATTTAAGACATGGTGTATAAGCAAATAATATAAAGCAGAATGGTCTGTATCTTCCCAGTTCAATAACTTTGCACTTTCCTGTTCTTTTTCATTTGTAGCTTCTGTTCTACATTCAAGATAGTGATAATGTTTATGGAGAAATAGCCTTTTTTCCTGTGGAAAACCAGAAGATCGAAAGCAGTCCGAGTGAACGATACTTATCTTTGAGTTTTACAAGGCTAGGGGGAACTAAAGGAGATGTGAAGATGACTTATTCTGCACTGTATATTCCTGCTGGACCTGTGGATCCCCTGCGAGCCAAAGATGGCATCTTAAATACATCCAGGAGATGCAGCCTCCTTTTCCCAGAACATCACAATCAAGTCACCACAAAATTACCAATAAGAAATGATGCATTCCTCCAGAACGAGGCACACTTCCTAGTGCAGGTATCTTGATGATTAAAACAATCTCAATTTTGGTTAAACTACAACTGTGCTTGTCCATGTAATACAGCTAGCAGTTATTTAGTGTTGTGCTTATAATTTAGAGTCTATGTGTTATTTGAAACTACTTAGTGTTGGCGTAGTGATATGCATCTGTAATCCGAGCACTCAGGAGAGGAAGGCAAGAGGACCATGATCTGGAGGTCAGCCTGGGCTACACACTGAAACTGTTGGAAACTGAGTGTCTGTTAAGAGACCTTCTCCTGTGGCATATAAGTCTGCATAAGGGAAGATTCTGCTGGAATAAATGTTTTAGCCAGGTGGTGTTAAAGATACACCTAATTTGATACACCTACTCTACCGTGTATGACACAGTAGAGTAGCTTAGCAGACTGGTGAACAAGGTGAGACAGATTCACCCGAGCTTTGACTTGGTTTGGAAAATCTGACTTGAGAATGGGATTTATAGAAAAAAATGTTTCTCACAGCATTTATTATAAGAGAGGTAATTTCAGAAACAAAAAGCAATCTGAAAAGGTTTTCTTTTAACTTGTACATGTAAAAATCTGTTTCTTCATTACCTGTGGCTCACATGCCCAGACCTCCCACTGTTAATAGCCCTGAATCAGACCCTTCCACTTTGTCACTCTTATTTTTATTTTATTTTTTCTTTCTTTTTTTTTTTTTCCAAGACAGGGTTTCTCTGTGTAGTCCTGGCTGTCCTAGACTCACTTTGTAGACCAGGTTGGCCTCGAACTCACAGAGATCCACCTGACTCTGCCTCTCGAGTGCTGGGATTACAGGCGTGTGCCACCACACCCAGCTGTCACTCTTATTTTTCAACTTCTATGTGCAGACACATTATATGTTGTATTAAAATTTAAAATGGCTGCAATAATTTCTGATGGATAGAATCTGTTTTCCATACATTACATATTGAGTGGATCTTAAATTAGAAAGCAATGAAGGTGGCTTGTCAAATTTTGATGATACATGGTTGAGCAAATGTCCTTGTTGTACACTTGATCATATTTTGGATATATGCCTAGGAGTGGTATAGCTGGATCTTGAGGTAGCACTATTCCTAATTGTACAAGTTTACATTTCCACGAGCAATGTTTGTAGCAGCTTTATTCGTAATAGCCAGAATCTGGAAACAATCTAGATGACCCTCAAAGGAGGAATGGATACAGAAATTGTGGTACATTACACAATAGAATACCACTCAGCTATTAGAAACAAGGAAATCATGAAATTTGCAGGCAAATGGTGGGACCTAGAAAAGATCATCCTGAGTAAGGTATCCCAGAAGCTGAAAGGAACACATGGTATATACTCACTTATAAGTGGATATTAGACATATAATATAGGATAAATATACTAAAATCTGTAAACCTAAAGAAGCTAAGCAAGAAGAAAGACCCTGGGTAAGATGATCAATCCTCACTCAGAAAAGCAAAAAGGGAGGACATTGGAAGAGTGTGGAAACAGAGAACAGGACAGGAGCCTACCACAGAGAGCTTCTGAAAGACTCTACCCTACAGTATGTCAAAGCAGATGCTGATACTCATAGCCAAATTTTGGGCAGAGTGCAGGGAATCTTATGGAAGAAAGGGGAGATAGGAAGACGTGGAGGGGACAGGAGCTGCACAAAGAGAGCAACAGAACCAAAAAAATCTGTGCAAAGGTGTCTTTTCTGAGTTTGATATTCCAGCCAAGGACCATACATGGATATAATCTGGAACCCCTGCACAGATGTAGCCCATGACAGCTCAGTGTCCAAGAGGGTTCCATCATAATGGGAACAGGGACTGTCTCTGACATCAGCTGAGTGGTTGGCTCTTTGATCACCTCCCCTTGAGGGGGAAACAGCTTTAACAGGCCACAGAGGAAGGCAATGCAGCCAGTCCTGATGAGACCAGATAGGTCTAGGGTTATAGGGAAGGGGAGGAGGACCTCCCCTGTCAGTGGACTTGGGGAGGGGCATGGGAGGAGATAAAGGAGGAAGGGTGAGTTTGGGAGGGGATGAGGGAGAGGGCTATAGCTAGAATACAAAGTGAACAAACTGTAATAAATAAAAAATAAATTAATTAAAAACTAATAATACATATAAATTTAATAATGAAATTAGATAATAGGAATTAGATAATGAGATTTTTCATAAAGTTAAAATCATGTCTCAGTCTGAGCATGGTGGTGCATGCCTTTAATCCAAGTACTTGAGAGGCAAAGCAGTCACATCTGAGTTTGAGGACAGCCTGATCTACATATCAAATTCCAGGCTGTCTGGAGCTACAGGATGAGATGTTGGCTCAAAAAAACAAAACTAATAATAATAATAATAATAATAATAATAATAATAATAATAATAATAA